TTAAAATGCAAAATCAAGTTTAAGACGCACCGACTCAGTGAACCAAAGCTCATAGAAATTTCGACAACATGCGAAAGGGCTGTCCTTTCTGCATGAGGTACGTATAGATAAACGAGAAAGTTCCGTTTTTAGTATTGAGTCTTGCTCTGACAGAAGCACACTCCATTTGAACCTACTGGCCACATTCATACAGAGTTGAGGTCCCACATTGATGCCCAATCCAAAGTATTTAACAGAGGTATTTCTTTTATCTGCTCGGAAGGTCCGTTGGCCAAGTCATGCCTTCACAAAAGGCAGGAGAGCTTTGACAACCAGGTTGGTGGGCTATATTTAGTTGGGTATCCTCACTCGTTCATTGTGGCAGTGGCTAAGTCCCTCTTCAATGGCTAAAAAAAGAAAAAGAAATGTCAGCAGGTAAAAAGGAGCTTTATTAGCCCCATATGCCCATAACGTTGCACAAAACCTTATAAAAAGGTGGACAATGGGTACAAAGTACTTATTGCAATTGCTGTGCTAAGGAAACTTTCGGGCCTATGCCCGCACGCTTCAAGAAGATGCCCTTTTGGTTAGAGGCATGCGAGGTCATAGATCACCTCTACTATGAGTGTGGTCTACGAAATGCCACTCTCGTGTGGAAGGGTTTACATTGGTTAGACCGGCCGATGCGTGAACGTTCGAGCAAGGGAGCATGACCTTTCGATGAAGAATAATCTTTTGACACATTTTTCTACACACTGTAGTGTGTGTGGATACGAGGCAAGGTTTGCCAGTATCGTTATTATAGATAAAAACAAGGATGTAATTGATTGAGAGAGGCTAGAGACATACCTCACCAAAAAAAGATAAAAAACGATATATGTGTTAGCCATACGTTGGTGGTATACTGCTTTCAGATGAATATGATTTTTTTTTTACTGGTAAGTCCGTGAAAATAACGTTATGATACAATGCAGGCACTGAGGTTGTCAAGCACCACCAAGCTACCTACTCCCACGTGGGACCGGCCGGTCTAGCTTGACAGCCCTGTCGTGGACGTACTAGACGGCCAGGATTTGGTTTTGAATGTCTAGGCTTCGCTGAACTAGCACCCGCATCGAGAGTGTCCGATTGCCCAATGTGATGTATGATGTGTTATCACGTATTTGTCACATAGTGCATACACAGCGGTCACATTGCAAGAATAAGTGTGTTGCGAATTGACAGTCTTTTTTCTTGCCCGTTCTTTCCAGGTTGTTTGCGTCGTTTATTTTCATTTAAAGTTACCAAACTAAATACAGGAAAGTATGAAAGTCGCCTTTTCAGTCACCATCAACCTAAGAAAATGAGACAAATTGGTAGAAAACCCGGATAATGGTCTCTGATAGCTTACCCTTCGGTGGCAAAAGTGCGTGGCTCTGAAAGGATACGTTTTTTAGTATACTTACTGTTTGATTACTTGAAGTCATTGGTATAAAATTTATGAACTCGCTTGTGCAAGATGATAATCTTCTATGTCACATTCATCTCAATAGTAAGGTAGAAGTATATGCCATCATAATGTTTTTTTTTCATCAAGTTCAGGTTCCCACCTCCAACAAAAAATATTTTCAATGTTGCCGGTGCCTCAAGAGATTTGGTAAAACACAGTTTGAAAGTTATCAATTTTACACTGTGCACTTAGAGTTGTTAGGTCGCTAAAGCAAAGTTGCTCCAAAAATAATGCGTGCCCACAACAATCCGGGAGCTCAAATTAAAATTTTAACAGGATCTGTAAACATAATAGAAGTTTGGCAGGGTAACTACGACGCACTGCTTCATAGCAGTATTGGGGACTATCGTGGCGATGATGTGGCATGGGTTGTTACAAGGCGGCGTTGCCTCAATCCACAAAGAGAGAGAATAAAATGATGGAAAGGTATAGAGTTTAACCAGAAATTGTAGCGTCCGGTTTGCTACCCTGCACTGAGGGAAATAGGGAATGGGGAAGAAAGATACGAAAGAAAGCGAAGAGCGGAATAGACGCGCGAAGAAGAAAAAAAGTGCGCGGGGATGCTATAGCTTATTCAATAGGCCACTACCATGCAGAAAGTTCATTTAGGCTGTCACTGGTTTTCTGTGGAAGAGAGGTTCAGCAAGCAACAATGGCCCGAATATCCTGTCGACACTAAATGATAAAATTACACATGTGTGCGGTTATTGTTTTGGCAAATGCATATAATCATAGAAGGCTATAATCGTAAAGCGCCCTTCATACTTACACAAGGGTGGAATGGTATTTGTTCCTTGCCGCGGGGAGCTAACCTCTTAAATGGGTGGTTTCACCGAATTCGTGGCAAGCGTATCCTTTGCGGTTCTCGCTTCCTTGAGCTATAGGAAGCGTGATACACGCACCATAATAGGTGTATATTGCTCTACCTATGAGGACCATTTTCGGTTTTGGTTTCGCGGTGCCGAGTTGGGTAGTGACGTCGATGCATAGGTGGCTTGGTCACGTAACCACACAAGGCTGTGAGGCACATCATGCTAAGTTTCGTCTGCTTTCACACACACGTGCCACACAAGTGCCAACAAAACCAATGCACTGACAGTCGCCATGGCCAGCTGCACTAGCATCCATGCAGTGGCGAGGGAAAAGACAGCCTAGAGGAGAGAAAGCGTTTATATTTACGACGTATGTACAGGATGAGGACGAGGAAGCAGCCCTACGCTAGATGTGCTGGCCTTTTATTGGCGCCGAGTCGCTGTAGGAGGACGGTGTAGCCCCGCTGTTGGACGCGCGCAGCGTCTCTGACGAACGCCTCCGTTGATACGTCGAGTGTCTCTTCGAAAGCACACAGTGTCTCTGCAAGGGACGTCAGCACACTCGTAACAGCAGGCATGCGACTTCTTTCTTTGTTCACAACATGCGTACCTATTCGTCGTAAAACACAGCTGTTCAACAAAATAATCATAGCCAAGTGCTTGGCAAAGAACGAAGTCTGTCCAGGCGTTGTTTTGTTGTTCGTCTCGGGAAAACTTGTAAAAACTGGGTCACCGAATCTGCTCAGGCAGAAGTCTAGCACATAAAAGTATACATGCATGGTCACTACGTGGAAAAACTACCGGATGCCTTCAGCACTCGAGCACGCTGAATTCCTTCGCATGTTTGGATGCCTAGCACTTAGCCAAGAAGCGATCGAAACTCGGCGAGTAATACAGCAAACGATGGTTTGCTGGTACGTTGGGTGCGCTCGTTTCGGAAATGACGGAGGTCACTCACATCACTACAGATCTGGCGTGACGCCATGACAGCTGCCGTTGCTTCTATTCTCAAACTTCAGTGTTGCTGCGTAAGGAATGAGCCTATATTGCGAGTGTGAGCATGCAGCTACACTTTTAGAAGCGAATTTAAATATATTCTACGTGTTTGTTGAGTCCAACCCTTCATGTGGAGAGTCCTTGGAGGCAGAGGAAACCCACAACAGGCTTGGGATAACCTCAAAATTTGGTGGCACCACCCTTTTAACAAATAGGTGTTTGATTTAGGAGCGGAGTGATTTAAAGATTGATTTAAAAGCTGGGGACTTCAAATGCTGAGCATACCTTGAAAAGCAAAACTTTATGACCATGTCTGTCTGTCTGTGTCTGTCTGTCTGTCTGTCGGTCCGTCCGTCCGTCCGCCCGCCCATCCGTGCGTCCGCAAATTGATAGATCTATCTATCTATCTATCTATCTATCTATCTATCTATCTATCTATCTATCTATCTATCTATCTATCTATCTATCTATCTATCTATCTATCTATCTATCTATCTATCTATCTATCTATCTATCTATCTATCTATCTATATCTATCTATCTATCTATCTATCTATCTATCTATCTACTATCTACTATCTATCTATCTATCATCTATCTATCTATCTATCTATCTATCTATCTATCTATCTATCTATCTGTCTGTATGTATGTATGTCTGTCTGTCTGTCTGTCTGCCTGCCTGCCTGTCTGCCTGTCTGTCTGCCTGTCCGTCCGTCTGTCTGTCTGTCCGTCCGTCCGTCCGTCCCTCCAAAAATTGATAGATCTATCTATCTATCTATCTATCTATCTATCTATCTATCTATCTATCTATCTATATCTATCTATCTATATATCTATCTATCTATCTGTATATCTGTCTGTCTGTCCGTCCGTCCGTCCGTCCGTCCGTCCGTCCGTCCGCAAATTGATAGATCTATCTATCTATCTATCTATCTATCTATCTATCTATCTATCTATCTATCTATCTATCTATCTATCTATCTATCTATCTATCTATCTATCTATCTATCTATCTATCTATCTATCTATCTATCTATCTATCTATCTATCTATCTATCTAAATATCTATAATATCTAATATCTATCTATCTATCTATCTATCTATCTATCTAATCTATCTATCTATCTATCTATCTATCTATCTATCTATCTATCTATCTATCTATCTGTCTCTCTGTCTGCCTGTCTGCCTGCCTGCCTGCCTGCCTGTCTGTCTGTCTGTCTGTCTGTCTGTCCGTCCGTCCGTCCGCGAATGAATAGATCTATCTATCTATCTATCTATCTATCTATCTATCTATCTATCTATCTATCTATCTATCTATCTATCTATCTATCTATCTATCTATCTATCTATCTATCTATCTATCTATCTATCTATCTATGAGTTCTTTTTAAACCACAAAACGGCCAAAAATGGTGTTATAATTTCCTGGACTTTTCTAGCTTGATATTTAGTCGGGTTACTTATTATGAAGCACTGGAAGGACAACATATTTATTTCATTATTCATAGAAATAATCCTTTTGAACGCAACACATGCGCGTGCCATCTCCTCTAAGAATTTGTGGACACATACAGTGATTGTGCACATGATGGCGTTAAACGTAGCTAATGAAAGCTCTAAAAGCTGCTATTGAAACCAAATGACTACTACTTAAAGCTCCTTAAGCGACAGCTCTATACGGTAAAGGAAATGAGAGCGTTAGTACTTCATACTTTGCAGCACTTATACGTGTAACAGCTTTCTGCACAAACCATCGACATCGAGTTATTTTATCGTGTGGCGCAGGTGGGCGCACTCGAAAGCACACAAGCAGATACGCGCATGACCCAGCATTACGAAGATATGAAATTCCACGTTGCGTTGCCGGGTTCAGCCCAGTTTTAATTGCAAGGAACACAAGTAAAAAATAGCGGCAACTACAATGAAACTTCGTGATAAAACGTACCTATAGTTTGTCATGGGACATGCCAAAATCAGGAAGTTGGTTTTTGTCGCATCTGATGACCATTCGCACTTCAAAAATTTGATACTTCGGTCTTCGGACGGACGGCTCGCTACTTCACGCAAATCATTCACTACCACCCTTAATTGTATCGTTGCCATTTTTGCGAACGCCAGTTTGGTTTTTGCCACCACTGTCACCAGCTCTGCTCTGACCTTCTTTATTCTTTTTAGCGTCCTTCCCAGCTTCACTGCCTTTACGATCACTTTTATTGCCATTTGTTGATCCCCCGCTGCCAGCAGATGTCTTGTCCTTGTCGCTAGTATCGGAAGACGCCTTGTTCTTGTCGCTAGTAGCGGCAGCGTCGTCCGGGCCAGAACTGGTTTTTGTATCATTTTTATTAGCATCAGTGTTTTCAGTGCCAGCATCCTTATCAGCTGCTTTTTGGCGCCCGGGGTCGCTAACGCTGTCGTTATTGCGATCATTGACACTGCCATCCTCGGCTGGTTTACCGTCAATAGTCTTGAGTAGTCCTAGCAAGGCTGCCGTACCACCTTTTAAAACACGGTTAACAGTGCGTGCTCTTTTCACAGCCTTCACGCCATATTCTAATTTCGAGCGCCTGCCTTTTTTTGGCTGGCTTGTTGTGTAACCATCAATGTCATCAGCACTTGCCTTCCTTTGTGTACAATTTAAACCACCATAAAAGTTGGCAGTGCCGATCGATCTGGTACTTGACTGCACATCGTGCCTTTCTGCAGCAGTACTCGGCTGTCCTATAGGGATATTGTTCCGGCCTGTGGGTAATGTAGAGCCCCTACCAACAAAGTTGCTTTTAATATCATTTTCTTCATTATTCTTGACTCCATTATAATCATAATTTTTAGCTAAGTTACTGTCTTTACGGCTGCGATGTTCCCGGCACAGTGATTGATTTCTTCTCGAGTTGCGTTTTGAACGGAATCGACACCGGGTCACTTGATCTATACTGCCGTGTCTGCCGGATTGCACTTCTGTGACGATTGGTGCGCTGTGTGTCGAAATCGAATCCGCTGTCATAGGCGCGCCTTTCGTTTTGATGGTGGAGTACGAGCTTGGGTTTTTCCTTATGAAGTCCTCAGAAGTTGTCGAGTCACTGAGTGTGGAAAAATTTTGTTTATATCTATTTATAGTGCTCCTTCTCTGGCCACCACCTGCTGCGGACCCCTGGATTCCTTGGGAAAACTTCATAGTGGAGTAATTTATAGTTTCAATGCAAACACCTCTTCTGCAGTGCCCCATCTGCGAATATATAAAAGAAAATTCTAATGAGAATATTGAAGTTGTGTAATACAAGTGTTGGTAGCTAAACCAGAACTGCTTTTTTGCTACAGTAAGTTCTCGAGGTATACACCAAGCTATAAAAAATGCGGTAGGATGTGCCACAATTACATACTCTGGCTTGTGTAGGTGCCGCATAAGGAAATATATTCGAAGTGCATGGGGCACATGACATTATATTTACATATACTACGTGAAAAATGAGGCTGGAAGGCATCACTTCAGCTTATTTGCTTGCCTATGATCTATGAACAACGTATGTGTTCATAGATCATATGCCATTCACATTGCACCTTTTGCTATCTTCTATACAGTGTCCATGCAATATCTTTGTGTTGAATTTTCTTGTCTAAGAGTATATGCCCTATGTATTACATTTGTTCGGAGGTAGTGATGTACACTTGTGTAATATATTTCCATGTGCAGCCGACTGCAATCTGATTGAATCAAGGAGGCTATTCTAGGGGTACAGTGACATTGTAAGAAAGTAATGTAAAACTTCTGAGAGTAAATGAACCGGTAATTTCATGTAATACCGCAAATTATACACAATAGTAGACACTTTCGCACATTTGTGCCACCATGGTTAAAATTTATGGCAAAACTTGAGAGCTGGTTTGACAGGACCTGAAAGAATTATGATGATTATGTAGATGTTTTGCACGAAGTTATCCAAGCTGTGCCATTTGGCATAAAACTATGCTGTGTGAAGCCGTTGTAAGTTGCATAGAACGCTACCAGGCCGGTAAACTTGTTTGCGCAATGCCAATACGCATGCAATGATGGCCGTAGCACATCCGTGATAATGATAACTATCGAATGCAACGGTGACGAGGCAGTATAAATTTCGCACATTCAAAAGGAAGCTACTGCATCAATACTTTTAGGTGTTGCCATGTAATGGAATGGGTTGGTAGAATGTCTGAAATATTGCCGCCATGATAGCTCAGTGGCTAGAAGATCGAACGCGTTATTCATGTCTGTAATATTGTCCTGTATCATGGTCCTGGTGATGTATGACACCGAGAGAAAGCATTAAAAGTCGAACAGTTTGTTGGGTTAAATTGTGCTCACCAGTATAAATGAATTACACTGGAAAATGGTACTGGCTGGTGAAGCGGTCGCTAGTCACAAGAAATTACCAGTGTTTCAGCTTGATAGCGCCAGGATATACATAAAGGGAGCTCCGCAAGGACGAACGGATCATATGGATGGACAGAGGCACGCACAGAAGGACAGTCGGACGGACGGACTTGCGAGCGAACTCACTCGAGTCAAGTGCTAGCCCACTAGTGGCACATCACTCCAGAACCTTCCAGGCACTCTCCAGCGTGCCATCTGTGCGCCATGTGGTGTCTGTACTGCTTGGGCGTGGGCAACACGGCTTTTTATAAAGCATGCGAAACTGCTGCATGTCAACTAGTGCAGTTTACGCTACAAAACCGATCGTCGGCGAAATCAATTCGATTTTATGCAAGTGGCATTGTACATTGAAATTTTATCAATAATTATTACTACTCAAACACAGGCTCTCCGCATGATGTGCTGGAATAAGTCAGCGTCATTCGCGAAGCAGCATACATGTTGAAGTTCGGCCTGCGCCGAGCATTTTGGCGCATTACAAGTAACTGAAGAAATTATGATCCCCGTGAAACAAAAGGCAGCAAATACACGTTTTGATAGTATGCCTTAAGTGAAAAGCCTAAGACACGTTTACTGGGGAAAAACGCAGGGGTGAAACCAACCAGCTGTCAAGCGGAGCAAGCGCGAGCAGCAACAACACTCTTCCTACTCTTCTTTCACTGGAGTTCCTGCCTGTGTCATATATCAACGCTACAAATCAACCCCCCCCCCCCCCAGAAAAGGAGCCATCCTGGTGACCTATGGAATGGGTACGACGGGTGGGTCGTAGTGCGGCTTCAATTGATCGACATCGACAGTCTCACAACCGCGACAATGTCTGTCTGTCGATGGTTCAACCAGCTCAACAATATAGTTAACCGGTGAGGCCTGGCTTGGTGGAAACTTGGTGGAAAGACCAGGACCAGTAACTTGGTGGAAAGACCAGGAACAGATGGGGGAGCCTGAAGCTATACGAACGTGCCAGGCAAATATGACTGCGAAGACAGGTTTTAGTCGTGACGGTCCTTCTGGTACGCTTGATGTGCGGTTAAGGAACGTGCGAATGGCCTGCATTCTTCTGCATGGATTGTGGATTCTGAAGCGTCCGAATTGTGAATTAGGAAGCGTCCGGACGATACAAGAGAATGGTGTCCATGAATGAGGAAGGTTCGCGCCCGTAGAGGAGCAAGAACGGAGGGAATTCTGTCGTAGACTCAGTGCCACTGTTGTAAACGTAAGTTACAAAGGGGAGTATGCGGTCCCAGTTGGTGTGGTCAGCGAACACGTACATAGATAACATGTCACCCAGTGAGCGGATAAACCGTTTGGTGATTTCATTCGTTTGAAGATGGTACGCACTGGTTGTCTGATGCACAACGTTGCGATCATTAAGAAGGCCTTGTACAGCTTCGGAGAGGAACATACGTCCACGGTCTCTGAGTAGTTCACGAGGCGCACCATGGCGCAGAACAAGATTGTGAATGATAAATAAGCCAACTTCACGTGATGTGGCCTCTGATAGCGCAGAAGCTTCCGCATAGCGTATCAAGTGGTCAATGGTGACAATCACCCAGTGGTTCCCGTGAGGCGTACAGGCAAGCGGTCCGTACAAGTCGATTCCGATGTGATTGAAAGGTCAAGAGGGGCAAAGCAACAGCTGCAGGTGTGCATTGGCTATGTGCGGTGGGCTTTTTCGGCATTGAAATTTGGAACACGAACGCACGCACTGCCGGACAATGTGGTACATTCCGCGCCAATATTACCGCAGCCGGAGGCGTGTGTATGTGTTTATCACACTGGCGTGGCCCCATTGAGAATCCGCGTGATAGGAGTCACAAATATCGGCACGTAGGTGGCGAGGATGCACAAGTAACCACCTACGGCCGTCAAAAAGGTAGTTGCGACGGTACAAGAGTCCATCGCGGATGGTGAAGTGTCGAGCTGTGCGTCGATTTGAACTACTGGCGGTAACTTGGAGTGGCTGAGACAGTAATTCTATCATAGAGACTATCCAAGCGTCTTGGCGCTGCTCGTACGTCATGTCAGTGTGCGAAAGTGCCACAGCATCGAAGCTGGAAACAGACGCACTTCCATGTTCATGGGGAAGTGGAGAGTGGGAAAGAGCGTCGGCATCTGAACGTCTGCGGCCTGACCTGTAGACGACACAGATATTATAGTCTTGGAGGCGTAATGCCCAACGAGCTAGACGGCCACATGGGTCTTTTAGTGGCGATAACTGGCAGATGGCATGGTGATCAGTCACGACGTCAAACGAATGGCCATAGACGTAAGGTCGAAATTTCCTGATTGCCCAAACGATGGCCAGACATTCCTTTTCTGCGACTGAATAATTTTCTTCAGCCCTTGCAAGAGTGCGACTGGCATAAAAAACAATGTACTTGTCGAATACAGACTTGCGTTGAGCAATAATAGCGCCAAGTCCGACTCTACTAGCCTCGGTGTGGATTTCGGTAGGCGCATCTAGATCAAAGTGACGGAGAATCATTGGAGATGTGAGAAAATGACGTTGTTTCATGAATGTGTCGTCACAATTGGAAGACCATGCCGAAATACCCTCGCTGTCAAATAGTAGCCGTGTTAAAGGGACTACGATAGATGCAAAATTACATACAAACCGACGAAAGTATGAACATAGGCCGATAAAGCTCCGGAGTTCCTTTAGTGTCGATGGCTTTGGAAACTGGGCGACGGCGAGGAGTTTTTCGGGGTCAGGTAGAACACTGTCCTGGCTGACAACATGCCCTAAAATAGTGAGCTTCTGGGAGGCGCAATGGCACTTTTTAAAATTTATTTCGGGTCCAGCATGTGTGAGGCAATCCAGGACACTTGAGAGACGCAGAAGATGGGTGTCAAAGTCCTTTGATAAAACGACGACGTCGTCCAGATAGCAAAGACACGTCTGCAAATGAAGGCCGCGAAGTATGTTGTCCATAAGACGCTCGAAGGTGGCAGGGGCGTTGCAAAGGCAGAAAGGCATCACGTTAATTTCGTACAAGCCATCCAGAGTTACAAACGCAGTCTTGGCGCGGTCTGCTTCATCCATGGGTATCCCAATCAAAGACCTTGTGAGGAAAAGAACTCTGCTCCTTGCAAACAGTCGAGAGCGTTGTCAATTCTGGGGAACGGATAAACATCTTTGCGAGTGATCTTGTTAAGGCGCCTGTAATCAACACAGAATCGGATGCTCCCGTCTTTTTTTTACCAGTACCACCGGAGAAGCCCACAGACTGTTGGACGGCAGTATGACGCCACAATTGAGCATATCAGACACGTGATCGTCAATAGCTTGGCGTTCAGCGTGAGAGACCCGGTATGGACGCTGACGCAATAGTGCGTGGGTGTCCATGTCGATACAATGAACAACTGCAGATGTTCAGCCCAGATTGGTTTGTTAGAGGTCGAAAGACGTCCGGAAGCTGTGGAGAAGTTATAAGAGTTGGGTTAGTTGGACAACCGGAAGGTCTGAATCAATCGATGGGAGGAAGCGTCTAGAAAAGAGGTGGCGGACGTGAGAGCGGGAGTAATACTGGCCATCTGAAGGCTTGTTGCGTGATTGGGCAGTAGACTGGTGCAAACATAATGAATGTTGTCAAGGAGGCCGATGCATTCGCCACGGAATAATGTGACTGGTACTGAAAGGAGATTCAAGACATAAATGGTCGCGCAAGTGCTTTAGACAATCAGAAGAGCAAAAGGTTGAAGAACGTTTTTCGAGAAGGGAAGTCTTCTGACAGCATGGACATGACGTTTGGAAAAGCAGCATGGTCGCATGAGATCAGCGCAATAAAAGAATACATAGGTGGGATATCCGTCTCCACGGCGACGACAACAAGGGAAATCGAAGGCTTATTAGAATCGTTCTCGGAGAGAGATGGTATTTCTAATTCGGTCCGAGCACAATCAAAAACGGCATGATGTGTAGAAAGGAAGTCCAAGCCTAATATGACGTCGTATGAGCAGTGTGAAAACATGATGAATTCAACCACGCACAGAACGTCCTGGATGAGTAGCAGAGCTCTGCACGTCATGAAAGAGTTTACGTGATGCGCTGGTGCCGTACGCAGGGATAGACCAGAAAGCGGAATCGTAACTTTTCTTAACTTGAGACACAATGCTTCACTCAATACAGACACGTCAGCTCCGGTATTTATTGATGCTTGGACGGCAAATCTAGACCTTAAATCTAGACAGTTATTTCATTATTAGGTAGAGACGAGGCCTTGTAGAATTCGATAGTGGCACAGTTCTTGGCTCAGGAACTGCGATGGCCAGTTTTCCGTTTGGGCAGGTGGTACAAGCCATAGCATCGGCGAAGGCGAAAGTCGGCGTGGGGAAGGCGATCGGCGTGGATTGAAGGCATGGCGGCTCGGCGAAGTGTCTGAAGCCGCATGGGTGGCAGCGTCTGTGGTGGTCCTGTGAGGGCATAGCCGTAGGTTTTATCAATGGTACCTTGATGAGGGACGTGCCAGTGACACAACCGCTCAGCACTACTGGGCTGACGGCAGTAGAAACATATCGGTCAGTTATCCTATGAGTGCCAAGGTATGTTGGGAAGCGTTTGAAGGATGGCGGGAAATGGGAACACGCGAGGCTGCCGGTATGCGTGTTGCGTAAAGGCGCTCGTTTGGTTTGCGTAGAAAGCGTTCGTTTGTAACAGACAGTATTTGCGGTGTCAATACCATCTGTTCCAGAAAAATAGCACCAACGGTCAACGATGACGTGCTCGTCATGTCGAAAGTAGGGCGTCGCGTTGAAATGCGCTGTTTTCGCAACTCCTCGTAACTTTGACAGCGTTGGATAACATGCGCAGCTGTTTGCGGGTCTTTCACCACCAGCATGTGGAAGGCACCGTCCTCGATGCCCTTCATAATATATTTTAAAGACGATAGTCTTTTTTGGGGACCTTCAACGCAAAAATTTTGGCCCGTCTGTCTGTCTGTCTGTGTGTCTGTCTATCTGTCTGTCTGTCTGTCTGTCTGTCTGTCTGTCTGTCTGTCTGTCTGTCTGTCTGTCTGTCTGTCTGTCTGTCTGTACATTGGTCTGTTTGTCCACTCTTAACGGCATCGTGTACTCGGAAACGGCTGACCCCATCCGCAGCGCCCACCAATGTTGCTCAAAGTTGAGCGTTCATGCATGTGCGATTGTCAATTTAAAAGCAATTATTGCGCATGTCTGTGGCACCATAAAACACGTACATGTTCTGCATGTGCGTCTTTTACTAGAAAAGGCATACATGAGTAATTTCCAGGACCATAGCGCTTGTCACGCTGCGCTAACCATGCAACGCTTGCACGAAATGGGCAGTGTTTCCAACGCTTTACGAGACGGTGGTGGCACCTACCCGTCGCCTTGCGTTCCACACCTTATCACCAACGAGATGGGCGTGAAGGGCATGCGCGCTTCGCTTTTCAAGATAACTGCCAGATAGCGCTCATGTCTCACGTGTGGCGTGGCTTGATGCACTCGTTCGCCTCCGCTGCACGATCGAGGCACTCTAAAGCAGCGCCTCCAGAATACCACTCACTGATTTTCTTGCGCAGAACATCAAATAAATGTCTTGTTCACTCTCTCCATACGCAAGACTATCGTCTTTCGGCGACATTTGCAGAAACATCCAGATACGGGGCCAATTTTCTGCCTTGGTGGTTTCAGACATGCCAGGATTGAAGCGACAGCAGAGGCCTACGACATTCTCGAAGTAGGACGTGCTACTCTCCCCCGACAGTTGGGCGCGATCCCGCAAGAGCTGTTTTGCGCGGAGCTTGCGCACTGTCGGTCGGCCAAACACGTCCGTGAAGGTGGTCTTGAAAGTGGCCTAGTCGGTAAGCTCAGCTTCGTGGTTGTTCAACCAGAGTGCCGCTACTCCTCTGAGGTCAAAGTTGACGTGTCTAAGTTCGTCATTTTCGTCCAACCTATTATTGACGCTTACTCGCTCGAACGAAGAGAGCCAGTCCTCGACGTCCTGCTCATCGGTGCCGCTGAAGATGACTGGATCTCGCTCTCTCGGGACGTCGGAACAGTGGGCAAGTGGGGATATAGGAGCGGTCTGCTTTGCAACGTTGATGGATATCGTTGATGGTGAAGGTAGAGTTCGGCTGCGGAGTTCCAGGATAGAAAAGGGACCCAGCACTCTCCACCACTTGATAGTACGCCTTTAGCAGTGAGCCGAAGAAACGTTTACTTGGGAAAAACGTAGAGGTGAAACCGACCAGCTGTCAAGCGGAGCAGGCGTGAGCAGCAACAACACTCTTCCTTCTCTTCGTTCGCTGGCATTCCTGCTTGTGTCATGTATCAATGGTACATTTTAAATAGTAAATACTTCTTAAAGTCACGCTACGCACACAAAAGCGCCAATGGTTTCTATAGTAACCTAAAAAACTTCAAAACCTGCTTGCATCAGATCACTGAAAACTTCACAGTGGCGCTCAATAAAAAAAAGAATTACGACAAAAGCCCAGGTTATTTCAAAACACAGTGTCACAACACAAGGAATCGGGAAGAATACATCAAACGAAGTAAAACAAGATGCGAGATCACGGTGCTTGGATAGTTCACTAGAAGGACGAACGGACGAACGGATGGATGAACGGACAGACATACAGACAAACGGACATACGGAGAGACGGACGGACAGGCGGATGGACAGACGGACGACATACACGCACATACATACAAACATACACACATACATACATACATACATACATACATACATACATACATACATACATAGACACATATATACATACATACACGCACACATACACAGACAGACGAACGGACAGACAGACATACAGACAGACAGACAAACAGGCGTACGACCGGACATACAGATAGACAGACATACATGCAGTCAGACGGACGAACGGACGCAAGGACGTGGCCAGCGCATGATTCACGGTTTGCCGACAAAATGTTCGAAGCTTCGCCCCACTGATCATCATTTATTCTGTGGATATGCTGTGATTTTCATTTCTGCTCTTTGTAGTTTGCCAGTGTTTTGCAACACTTTGAGGTGTGGTCTTACAAGATGTCCCTTGCCTCAACGTTACAAGTCACGCTCTTGACGACCAGATAGCGTGGAAGATACGGCTTCATATTCGGTGTCATGCATAAATATTAACATTTGAGGTCCGTGCAAGCAGTGTGTTCCCGTCAGAAATCACCCATTACCAATCCATGCAAAAACAACTGTACACAAAATAAGACACCTCCTCCACTTGAGTATTGAACATTTGTTTGAAACGAAGGAAATCTGAGGAGATGAAGTGAGGTTGAGTAGGATGAGTGGGATAAGTACGAGAGCACTTACCACCAGCAAGCTTGTATTCTTTCGGAACCACTATCTGTGAATGCACTTTGTGAGTTTAACGTGGTCACAAAAGCGAGTTTTCTACCAGTTGTACCAATCGAGAAAACAAAAGGGTGTGGGGAGCAGGACGATACTTCTTGCCAGTTTGTTGCCCCAAAAAGTTTTAAGTACTCCTGAAGATCGCCATTCACAAAATGCGAAATAAACTCCGTGTCAAAAGCGAAATTTATTCATATCCCCGCCGAAGAATCGGAGGCTTTAACGCTGTCTTTGCCATCGATGAGTGAGCAAACCCGTGGTTGCGACATGTAGCTTGAATGTGGCACTACTAAAATAATGAGATGGTAGAAGAGACCTCTTGAGGCACACAGTGGTCCTTAGATTGTTTAAAACAAAAGTGTGGCTTCACAAAACACTCGCGAATGGGTTACTAGAATATCATGCTTCATATCCTGTACATGATGGCAATGCACGAAAGGCATTAAGAAGAGCACAGGGCATATTCGGATTTTGAAGAAATACACCACTGCTTTACAGATCTCCTCTATTTCACAATTTCTTGTTTCCCTAATCACAATTATCTGTTGAAATGTTTCTAGCGCACACTTCTTCTGAAATAACGAGTGTTAATGGGAGTAAAACATTAGTCGTGTAAATAGTTTATTCGGTTCATTTTATTTGTATAAAGAGTAGCACAACTACCACTCTTGTCCGAACCACATTGTGCGCGTGCTGTACTCACCTTGCATGGCACTCCGTCTGGCTCTGAGAGCACAATAACAGATGCACCCTCCGACGACAGTAATATACAGGGAAATGTACAAGGAGTAAGAAGCCGCGTCTGGAAAGAAAGTAAAGAGGAAGGTGAGCGTGAACATTTCTCTTACTTGGTAACGATGCTCCCTTGAAGATAAGTCTTCAAATGCCGTCGGTCGACGTAGTTTCAGAAATCATCAAACCAATTTACCTAAAGCTGAGCATTTTGTGAAAGTATCTGTGTGGTTATATACGGCACAAGTATGTGAAAGTGAATGAAAAGTGAGAACTGCCACACTCTTTCTGCGAGTGTAACCAATCATGTAGGCGTGTGTGATATGGCAATGCAATACATATGATGAGTTAGAGAGAGAGACAGAGAAAAGCTTAGAGGCAAGGAAGGCTAATCACCCACTGGCCAGCTTCGCCGCTTTATACGTTGGGAGGGGGACTTCAAATAAAAGGCGGTGACAAAGACACGAATTTATTCCTTTGAGACTTCATGTTATTGGCCATCGCGATGAAACAACTCATTTTCCTTCGTGGTTCACATGTGTCGTCGTAAGGTACCTTCAAAGTATCGAGATACAATGCATGCATCCGTCTGTATTAGCACTGAGACTACCTCCTAATAATTTACCTCTTGTAATGTAGACGTAACGACAATATTTGTGATCAGTAACCCGATAAGCTCAATAAATAGTACCTCTGAATGGAGCTTCCTTATTGGTAAATGTGAAATGAAATAGATTGACTTAGTGCTTAAAATATGTCGCAACAATGTGGTGTCCACTAAAACAGCAGTAAGTAAAACTTTTCTGGAACAGATTGTCGTGGAATCGCATAGACACCTTATCGTCTCGCCGCGGCCAGCTTCTGCACTTTGAGGTCTGGTTCGCTAAGTAATTTTGATTGATTGTGATATGCGCGGATGCGCTTCGGGGTAATCCATTGCTATATATCAGAAGTTGGCATAAGAAGCAGTTTAGAGTGTAAAACGTCTGGTCGATAAAACAGCATCGATAAAGCTGAGCCACGACAGCATATTCTGTCAAAGGTTTTTGAGAGTGCTATTAATAATAGATTACAAAAATGTTTTGCGAAAAAAAATGTCATAAGTGATGCTCAATTCGGCTTTAAAAATGCAAATCTACTGAGCTTGCATTACCTAATATAAAATATAAGATATTAAGAAAATCGGAGAAAAAAATATATACGCTCGAACTTTTTGTTGATTTTCGTAAAGCGTTTGACACAGTGCACCATAGTGCTTTTTTAGAAAAACTCAATACGTACGATGTGCGTGGTGTTGCTAATAGATTACCAAGGAATTACTCAACAGAGAGCTATCATTGTGTTGCTATCAATCAAGAAATATATCCACGTGCAAATGCTAACAAAGGTGTGTCACAAGGTTCGATACTTGGCCCTGTCTCGTTGATAGTTTATGTTAACGACTTATGTGATATTTCGGGTTCTCCTAAGTTATTCACTTATGCTGACGACCCCAATATTTTTTTTGCTGGTTACTTAACCCCTGAACTTCAAAGTATTGTGAACACATAATTAAATAAGCTGTCTTGCTGGCTTAAATAAACAAGTTGCCGCGAAATGCGAGTAAAACTAAGTTTTTGTTGTTTGCGCCTATCAACAAGCCACGAAACATAAGTATAAATGTCTCCTTTGAGGACCAGCCTTTAGAACAAGTAAGGGTACAAAAATTTTTAGGTGTGCGGTTCCAGGAAGACCTTTCTTGGAATGAACACATAAATAAACTAGTAGCAGACCTAAGTAGAAGCGTTGGATGTATGTACAGACTATCTTCATTACCTGTTGGGCTAAAGAAAGCGTTATATTATACAGTATTCCACCCCAGGCTAAGTTATTGTGTCTTGTGTTGAGGAACAACGACAGTCACAGAACTATAAGACCTTACTGACGTTACAGAAAAAAGTACTACGACTAATCGAACGATACTACGGTCACCCACAAAATTTTAACACGCGACCATTATTTTCGAAATATTTCTTATTACAAGTAAACCAAATATCTTGTTACGGTGAGATGCCTTTATTTGCAGGAGATGATGAATGCGAGAGTCCAGGGATCTGGCCGATCAGCGCTCATGCCAACCTCGGTCTGCTCTTCTTCCACGCACCCCCTCAGTATCGTAGCAATTCCCCCTTTGCAGATGATGCCCACCGAGCGAGTTAGGCTTCATTGCGGTGATGATAGCGTTTTAGGTGGGCAACATGAACGACGTTGGTCTTGCTTGAGCGGTGGCCAGTTGACAACAGCTTAGATATCACGTACGTGACATCGCTGAGACGTTCCAGGACAACAAACGAACCAGAGTTGGCCAGAAACGTTTGGCAGAGGCCGCGCTTGCGAAGCGGTGTCCAAAGCCACACCAAATCCCCTTTCTCAAACAATACGTGCCGGTGACTTCTGTCGTAACGGTTCTTGGAGCGTTTCTGTGAGACGAAAGCTCGAAGACGGGCGATGCGCCGGGCCTCTGCTTCGCGGCAAATGGTTTCAGCGAGAGTAGGTTGATCAGTCTCGGAAAGAAGAAGGATAGTGTCAAGAGCTGTGCGGGGTTGGCGTGCGTAGAGCAGATAAAATGGACTGTATCTCGTTGTTTCGTGCTGTGCTGTGTTGTAGGCGAAAGTAATAAATGGCAAAATTGCGTCCCATGTTTTGTGTCCAGAACAACATACATGGAAATCATGTTGACGAGAGTCCTATTAGTTCGTTCCGTCAAACAATCATTAGCCTGCGGGTGATACGGGGTAGTGTGACGAAAATGGCACGATGCAAGACGAGGGAGGTCTTCAACTACATCGGAAACAAACTACCGCCCGCGATCACTGATGATGACACGCGGGGATCCATGGCGTAATATAACGTGTGACAGCATGAACTGTGAAACTTGAGTGGCCGTGGCCGCAGGAATCGCCGCAGTTTCGGCGTAACGTGTGAGGTGGTCAACGCCCACAATAATCCATCGGTTGCCGTTCGTTGATCGCGGAAAATGGCCGAGCAGGTCGACACCTACGACGTCAAATGGTGAACTCGGTGGTGCTACGGGATGAAGTAGTCCGGCTGGCGGAGTTGTAGGACGCTTGTGGCGTTGACATTGCTCACAGCTCGCCACGTATGCAGTCACAATTTTACGCATCTTCGGCCAGAAGAAGCGTTCTTGCGTGCGATAAAATGTCCTAGAAAAACCCATCTGGCCAGATGTTCCGTCGTCGTGCATTGCTCGAAGTACGTGTTGTCGAAGACTTGTAGGTACAACTAAAAGTAGGCGAGGACCTACGCCGGAATAATTCTTTTTGTAAAGAACGTCATCCTTTATGACGAAACCACGTGGACCGTTTACGTGGACCGTTAGTTCCGGAAATAAAGAAAGAAGCGAGACTGTTGTCATTGCGTTGCTCTGCTCGAAAAGTTGTTAGGTGAGGAAACGGAGTATCCACTACAGCCAAATATTCATCAAAGATGTCAGCGTCACACTCGGTTGTAGGAAAGGGAAGTCGTGAAAGGCAATCGACGTCGTCATGACGACGATCGCTCTTGTAACAGACTTCAAAGTCATGTTCATGCAATCGTAACGCCCAACGAGCAAGACGACCAGATGCGTTCCGTAGTCCAGTGAGCCAACATAAAGAATGGTGGTCAGTGACAATCGAGAATCGGCGTCCATAGATGTAAGGGCGAAACTTGTGCACAGCGAATATGACCGTGAGACATTCCTGCTCTGTGACGGTATATTTTCGCTCCTGTTTACTTAAACAGCGACTGGCATAGGCAACGACGTGTTCAGCGGCTCCATGGCGTTGGACCAAGACGGCCCCAATACCTACACCACTGGCGTCGGTATGAACTTCTGTGGCAGCAGATGGGTCATAGTGGCCAAGTACGGGCCCTGACGTAAGAACAAACTTGAGTTGCGAAAAAGACGACTCGCATTCCGCTGACCACCGAAAAGGTGCGTTCTTGTTGAGTAGGGACGTCAAAGGGTAAGCGATGTCGGCGAACCTGGGCACGAAGCGACGGAAGTACGAGCAAAGGCCCAAAAAGCTTCGCAACTCTCGTACCGACTGAGGTTGTTTGAAGCTGCTCACTGCAGCGACTTTCTGGGGGTCGGGTCGAACGCCATGCTTGTCCACAAGGTGACCGAGAACGAGAGTCTCACGGCTGCCAAAGTGACACTTCTTAGAGCTCAGGGTGAGCTTAGCTCTCTCAAGGCAGGTGAGAACAATGTCTAGACGATGGTTGTGTTCATCGAATGTACGGCCAAAAATTATGTCATCGAGGTAGCAAAGACGAACTTCCCACTTTAGTCCACGTAACACAGAGTCCATGAAGCGCTCAAACGTGGCTGGAGCTGTTGCATAGGCCAAACGGCATTACATTGAATTCAAATAGACCATATGGGGTTACGAAGGCCGTTTTCTCTTTGTCATTCGGTGCATGGGGATTTGCCAATAACCAGATCTCAAATCCATGGAGGATAAGTAAGATGCCGAATGTAAACAATCGATGACATCTTCAATCCTGGGAAGTGGGTAGACATCTTTTTTAGTAACAGAGTTGAGCCGTCTGTAATGCACGCAGAATCGCCATGTACCATCCTTCTTACGGACAAGAATAACAGGGGCAGCGCAAGGGCTACACGACTCTTGGATGACTCTTTTCTTTAACATCTCTTCTACCTGTTGAGTAATGACCTTGCGCTCCGCAGATGAGACATGGTATGGTTTCTGCCGGATAGGTTGAGCGGATCCTGTGTCAATCCCATGGCGAGTACGCGACTCGGGTACACTTAGTTGCACTTCTTTCTGCGCAAAGTCAAATGTAGTAGCGTGGTTTCCAAGGACTTCGACCAAAGCTTGACGTTTTTCTGATGATAGCGACTTGTTCACCATACTCAGAAAGCTGGATTCTGTATGGTACGTTGCACGAATAGGATCTACTCTTTCGTCGCTTAAAATGCAATAAAACTGGTCGCATTTTGTTCGAAGAGGGCGAGTCGCATTCCGCAGGGCAGCATAACAGGTTCATTTGATTAGTTCGACACCC